AGAGCAAAAAAGTGAGCAACACGATTTCTTTAAAGATATCTCTTTTTAAAATGAGCACATGAAACACAAATTTATTCCCTAACACAAATTAGCCTCGAGTCATTCAACTGCATCTCACCTAACACAGACTTGCTGCATTTGTTATCTTTCAGTTTGGATAGTCAGATGGTTATGAATGTTTTGTGGATCTGACATGCACATTACTGATGCAGCTATGGTTCGAAGACATCTCCAATTGAGTTATAATCTACATTATTTTATTTTCACAATTACTTTCTATTTCTTGTTGTTTCCATTTTTTCTGACACATTATACGCTTTAAGCCTCGACTCTTATGCCCTGCTTTACTTGCACCTCTAACTTTTGGATTAAGTCAGTTGCTACTTTTATCCATCTACTAATCTTATATTGGCTTTACATATATTCTATCCAATAGTTCCTGCCGAGCTTCATTTGCAAGTACTAGTGGTTTCTGAATCTAAGCGAGTTTTATCAAACTTTCTTTCTTCCTATTCCACAGGCAGATGGACTGCCGTTGAAAGAGTAGCTATAGATGCAAGACCCTGCATGGCCAATCAAGTTCATCACCTTCGACTAGCTGTTGATGGAGGTAATCATTTTGTTGTTGATGTTTTGCTGATCTTTATGAGTATGAATTTGCTTACCTTTTTTTATGGATTAAGAATAACACATTGCTTAGTAATGATCAACTACTAACAGATTGCTCAGTAATTTTCGAGTGTATTTACTCATGTATTTTCATTATTTTTTCTGGGTGATGTTTCAGCAAGAAGCTGGTTTGCTGAGAGGAAATGATCAACTACTAACACTAGGGCTGGGAGCGTTAGCCACTGCACTCACTGCTGCTTAGTATCTATGGAAATTGCTTGGTCTTTTTTGTATGGCTCTATTGACATTTGGTGCTTCAGTTCATGAATCAAATGTTATGTTTTTGTATTTGAAAATTTCTATTGATTAATCCAAGCACGTGGAGTTTAATGCCTTCATTAATCTCATTCTTGTTCGATATCTATTTTATTCTTTAATACTGTGTTAGATGGCACTGGTTTTATAAATTTTGAGTTTTTTAATAGGTAACAGGTATTTTTTTTTATTTTTTATGACAGGATAAAATCAACATGAGATTTATTATTAAAAATAATAATAATAACCTATCACAGCATACATAATAAGCCGTAATTGCTAATCAATAGTCTTCATTTATGACAAACACTGCATGTTGTAATTGCTTCTACTGAATTACGGCTCACTATGCAAGCCGTCTAAAGTAATTATAACGACGTTATATGCATGCCTTAATAAGATTTACAGTGTGTTTTTCGTGAGATTATTTGCGACTGGAAAAACATGTCGTAATTGAGGAACATCATTTACGGCCTTGCGTCGTGAATGACACTTGACGGCGTGCTTTGTGCGCCGTAAATGATATGTTCTGGTGTAGTGGTTGTCACTCCTAGAATTTTCAAATTGCTTAGATGGAGGTGTAGTATCATTTTTTTTCCCCGCTTTTCAGAGTAACAATAGATGCATCATGTTCAAATTTAGTTTCACATTAATTAATCCCTTTAGGATTTGCTTCAATGTTGGAATTAAATTTTCCTTTTGTATCTAATAGCCAAAATGCTTGTTAACTTAGAAATTTGACTCTGCTTTTGGGGCTCCCCAATAAAAGCTTAAAGAGTACCTCCTAATGATGGTTTAGAATTAAATGAATTTGGAGTAGAAAGTTATTGTTTGGGGAAACTTACCTAAGCTAAAATGGCATATGGGCCATTGTGTTCCTGCTTGGCCTTTGGGGAAAGTTATAATTATACCCAAGCAACATGCAAAACCAACTTTATTCGCCAAACTCTGCCAATACAATTCACGGATAAACCTCAATTGGCTTAAACATGAATATTACAAGCGTATATGTAAATTATTCCAAATTATTCCAAACCAATACAAGCCAGAGAGGAGAATATCAAGGATAAACCTCAATTAGAGACCTTAAACCGCAAATGGGAGTCATCTTATAGTCACTGAAACCTGCATCAGAAAATAGCTTAGCCCATTCTTTCTCAGTCCTTTCTTTTCCTGTAACCAACACCATCATCAACATATCGAAGAAGAGTTGCGTCTCAATTGATTGGTCATCTCCCTTCTGCTTCATTACCATGTCGACGATAATCACCTTGCCTTTCTTTTCCTTCCTTGTAATTGCCTCTTTAGATCGCTGAAGTATTTTTATACATTCTTCATCAGACCAGTCATGCAATATCCACTGCTAGTCATGAGCAATCACCATTTGTAAGAGACGGATATACAAATAAAGAATTTGCCCTATCTTAAACAATTATTAAGAGATATATGGCAGCCATCATTCCCCCATTCTAGTATTTTTACTTGTATTATAAGTTCAAAATATATAGACTCAAACAAAGAACTAAGTATAACATTATTATATGATACTAGTCAGTGCTATAATAAAAATGGAATATGGTATAATGTAATCAGGCACTAGAAGAAGGGATCTAAAATATCACCATAGACCATGAAATCACATTCTACAATGAGAATGAATTTTCAATGTCATATTAACTTACTAACTGATTCGCTCTCAACTGCTCGTGTATAATAAGAAGATCTCAACTTGATTGGGGGTAACATAATCTCCGAGATGTACGTACCTTCATTAAAATTGCATCTGTGGGAGGAATGGCCTCAAACATGTCCCCTCCAAAAAATTTCAAGTTCTTACTCCCTTTTAGGTCAGCGACCACATGTGGGAGATCAAATACAATGCATTCCACATGGGGAAATACATCAGCAATGGCCTTGGCCATGGTTCCTATACCACCCCCAACATCAACCAAGGACTCCAATCCCTCAAACACCCCCTTGTACTCATTACTCACCACCTTCGAGATTAGTCGAGCATCACTAGCCATGGCATCATTGAAAATGTGGGAAAGACTTGGCTCAAGGTACCCGAAATCCCAAAACGTTGTCCCATGCGCAGTGACACATGCTGTAGGGTCATCATTTTGGAACCAAGTGCTAAAGTAATGCCATGGTTTGGTCATTAAAGGATCAAGCAGGCCAAGTAAGAAGGGTCTTGCGCTTAAGGGATCGTCCTTAAGAAGGAGCCTGGAAGCATCCGTCAGCACATAACCTTCTTCCTCATCAAGTTCACTCAGCTTTTGGCGACTGAAGAAGCCCGAGTGCACTAAGATTCGCATGAGCCGATAGACACAATTGGATTTTTTTGGGTGGATTGGCAATGCAGATATAAGCTCAGAAAGGCTCATGGGATTTCCATGTTTTTTTATGATGTCAGGTATACCTAGTTGAACTGCACATTTGAGAGACATAGGGTTTATGAAGCTGAAAATGCAATTCCAAATGTGGGCTTGAGCTTGGAGTAGCTCGGCAGAACTCATTTCATTACTCAAATCCATGTATTTGGCTCCAGAGTTTAATTAGTGCGGGATAGCATGGCAATCCAGATAAATTTATATAGGCGTGGAACTTAATGCCAAAATGAAAGAATTGAAAATTGCAATAGGGTTCTGATTGCAAACCTAAGCTCTATGTACGTGCAGGCCTTTCTAGAAAAGTATAAACTAAGGGGGGTGTATTCAATTGATATTTTTAAAAATATTTTAAAGAAGTTTAAAAATTTAGGTGTATTCAATCATGATTTTATAAAAGTCTATACAATTCTGGATGTATTCAATTCAGACTTTTTAAACTCCATTCCAATTTGGATGTATTTAATCACGACTTTAAAAGACTTCATAAAAGTTTGTGTATTAAAAAACACATAGATTTTAAAGGAAATACAAAAAATGGTGTATTTTGTTTGATTATAGCCAAATTTAAGGCCTACATACTATATGGGTACGTAATATATTGTTTGGTATTTGGTACTAATTTAATTTGCAATGGAGAATGTTGATGTGTTTGTTAAAAAAGTAAAAAGTAATGTGTTTTATAATTCAACGTGCAAGATTGGAAGTGTTCTATGGGTATGAATAATAGAACAAATGTTAGGCTAATTAGGAAGGGGCTTGTAGTTAAAGTGATTAGAGTATTTATCCAAGTACCTGAGTTCCTAGGTTCAATTCCCCCACGAGTTTTTATCAAAAATAGCCAAAATTTACCCCTTACTTTCATAAATGTCAATTTTTATAAAACTTTCAAAAATAGCCAAAAACTCACTTAAATAAACTCAAAATGCCCTCAAAATTAAAAACAAATAAAAGAAGGAATGAAGCCTAAATTCATGATTAGAATAGAATTTATCAAAACATTAAACGAGAAAGAGAATAACCATTCTAAATCATTTGAAATTTAATTTACCAGCAATAACAAGGAAAGGGAATTATTTATTTTTTTGGTCAATAAGAAGGAAAACGAGAGGAGAAAAACTTGCTTCTTTCCAACAGTGGTTTTAAAGCAAACTTGTTCAACTTCGCCTAGCCGAACATCATCTACCCTATCAACAGAATAACCATACCTTCTCTTTAATGAAAGCAATAAAGCAAACTTGTTCAACTTCGCCTAGCCGAACATCATCTACCCTATCAACAGAATAACCATACCTTCTCTTTAATGAAAGCAAAAATTTGGTTTCGAAAAAATTAAAAATTAAAAAATATCTTTTATATAAACTCTGTATGCTTATTTTGTCCAACAATTTTTTTCTCCTCCCAGTAATATAATTATCTACTAGTTTTATTATTGTTAATGAACCATTCCTCTCTCTCTTTAAACCACAATGCAAATGGTTTCAATTGGTTATAACTCTGAGATGTAAATTAGTTTTAACTTAAGGCTATTTAAGTCTATTTAAGTGGGTTTTTTTGCTACGTTTGAAAGTTTTTACAAAAACTGACATTCATGAAAGTATGGGGTAAATTTTGGCTATTTTTGATAAAAACTCTTCCCCAACCATATAATCGCTTGTATAAAAAAATTGGTATCCTAGTTAGAACTTTACACTATTAAAAATTAATGGATGAGTCTGAATTTAGGCATGAAATGACGGACAGTGACATCTCCCAAACTGGAAGAGCGACATGATGTAGCACGATCTTGGTCATGCAAATTAGTATTTGCAATGGAGAAGAAATGGCAATGGAAGCCATGTGCCTTATCTCTTTCTAGGCCTACTATTTGATTTTGGTAAGAAATTGAACTGACTAATAACTCCAATTATTTTGGTTTTGGGAACCAATTTTAGGGATGCACGTACACTAGCTATTTGAAATGGAGCATTAAAATGGTAATGGAAGTCATGTGCCTTATCTCTTTCTAGGCCTACTATTTTGTTTTGGTCATCAGAAATTGAACTGACTAATAACTCCAATTGTTTTGGTTTTGGGATGTCGACTTGTTCCGAATCCGAAGAGCGAAGTAGCACGGTCTTATTGATGCACACTAGCTATTTGCAATGGAGTAGAAATGCCAATAAAGCCATGTGTATGACCAGACCCGTCCCGAATTTCTCGGAATCCGTGATGGATCCTGTGGTTTTTCTAACATCCAACCGATGCTGGGCCCACTTACTAATTACAAACATCCTCTTCCCCTAAAACAAAGGAAAAGAGGGCCGAGACTTCTATTGAAATTTCGGCAGAGTCTCCCTTGAAAAATGGACTTTACCAAATTTTTCAACCTGTCAAAAACACTGTTTAAAATCACCAAACTTCATGATGCACAAAGTACGTTACACACAACAAACAAACAGGCCTCCGGCCTTATAACCAAACATTTTCTAAAACGTTCTTGCTTTTGAACTCATTTGTAAATCCATACACCCGTAGCAATTATCGTAACAGCAATCAGAAAATATCTTGCTTATTCTTCCAAAATTCATTTTCACACTTAGAACAATACAAGTACAGCTCAAAAAGTTTATTTTGCGGCTACACCTAGGTTAAACTCCAGACTACCTACGTACCCCTTTGTGAGGGATCAAGCTATGCGTAGTTCTTAAATCAACAATCACGATTCAGATAATATACGATTATTTAAAGTAATACCAACGATTAAATTTAGATTCATTTACAACATCAAATTCGACAAGGCACATACTGAACACTTTATAAGTTCCTTTCCTTTTATCAGTTCTTTCCCTCAACCAGACCTTATCCAAGGCATATGTTGCCGAACAACACTTTCTAGATGGAGCTACAAGTGTTATATCCACTTGCTTGTATAATCAATAGCTTTTGGTATTCACAACTTCAAATCAAAGACAAATTCAACTAATTACATTATGACACAAGATAATACCAATCGTAGTTTCAACGTAAAAGAGCTCAAAACCCATATTAGTTCTCACTTTCCAAACTATAAATCAAACGTTCATACCTGTGCAGAGTACTCACGAAGCATAAGTTCAAGAATCACAACTCGAAAACAAATCCACATATATTTAATGTGTATTAAATATATATATATATACAGACCTCACACCATCATCATGTACCAGGGGAAAACAATCCAACTCGGGGATCATTTGACTAGACAACATGGAGAAATCCTCAACAACCATGTGGCCAGGGACAAGCTGTCCAACTGGGGGACTGGGCTCACCAGGCCACACAGTAGAATCCTCAATACTCGTGCGTCTACGAAAAGTCCTACGAGGGCAGACTGCTTGGCCAAGGGCCTATGAAACACCCCACCGAGGGTGCTCGTGTTTCGACATGTCCAAGTATCCATATCCACTGTTTCCAAGTATCATTATCCAAGGGGAGGTACATATGATAGTGAACATCATGTACTGGGGGAAAACAATTCTGCCCCAACAACTGCTCGATGTCTACATTTGGGCATCGCCCTACTACAAAATCCTGGGGCGTTACCAAACGATGAAGTATGGAGGCCAAGGATAAATACGATGGTAGAGTTGGATAAAGGAATGTTGCAGCCTCTTACAGTAACCTCGCAATCACAACGAAATGTTACCCTGGGAATGTTCACGTAGAACTTCAGCAGAACATTCCGATTGAATGTCTTATATTCATATGTTAGAGTGCCGAGCTGATATTCGTCAACCATTGCAAAACTGAATGGCGATTTTGTAATCTATGATATTATTTTTCAAACATCGTTTAGTTATGATCGGAAAATTCTTGATTGATGCATAGAAGGCGGCTGCATCTTCGTTATGGAATTGTTCATAACACAAAACACTGGAAGTAGTCCCCATGAAGAAGTGACCAAATATCCAAATACTAGGCACCCACAACCAATTGGTGTTAGAGCTCCATCAATGCCATTGTTGCCTGAGAGTCTGCTCGAGTCTAGATACATTGATGAGTCAACTATCTATCCAAACGACTTGATGTTCAACTTTAAGGCATTTGAAAGAAGTCTCTACAATACTTACCAAAGGCAATTCGCACATGTAGAGAATGTTTAGCCCTATTCGGATTAGCTTCCGTGGTTGATTGATGACGTTGATGCTAGTGTTGAGGATTTAGGTAGGTAGTAAATCTTACTAATCTTTTTCTTAGTAGTTTTCTCAATTATCTAAACAAAGTTATATTATTTGAGAATTATAATTATGCAAACGATGAAGTATGGAGGCCAAGGATAAATACGATGGTAGAGTTGGATAAAGGAATGTTGCAGCCTCTTACAGTAACCTCGCAATCACAACGAAATGTTACCCTGGGAATGTTCACGTAGAACTTCAGCAGAACATTCCGATTGAATGTCTTATATTCATATGTTAGAGTGCCGAGCTGATATTCGTCAACCATTGCAAAACTGAATGGCGATTTTGTAATCTATGATATTATTTTTCAAACATCGTTTAGTTATGATCGGAAAATTCTTGATTGATGCATAGAAGGCGGCTGCATCTTCGTTATGGAATTGTTCATAACACAAAACACTGGAAGTAGTCCCCATGAAGAAGTGACCAAATATCCAAATACTAGGCACCCACAACCAATTGGTGTTAGAGCTCCATCAATGCCATTGTTGCCTGAGAGTCTGCTCGAGTCTAGATACATTGATGAGTCAACTATCTATCCAAACGACTTGATGTTCAACTTTAAGGCATTTGAAAGAAGTCTCTACAATACTTACCAAAGGCAATTCGCACATGTAGAGAATGTTTAGCCCTATTCGGATTAGCTTCCGTGGTTGATTGATGACGTTGATGCTAGTGTTGAGGATTTAGGTAGGTAGTAAATCTTACTAATCTTTTTCTTAGTAGTTTTCTCAACTATCTAAACAAAGTTATATTATTTGAGAATTATAATTATACCATGTACTCACCATGACAGTTGGATTTTCTTTTATAATGAGGCGTTTAATTGGTTGCTCTTTTATTATATGAATTTACAATTATATGAAAATTTATGAAAGCCTATTGTTGTAGGCTTTTTGTGATTAAATAAATCATGCAATTATTATTTTTTATCTGTTAAATTGTTAATGTGACTTGGAGCTCAGCATTTTTTCTTTCGGTAAACTTTTTTTATATTTTAATTACCTCCAATAACATAATCGGTATATATGTTTAAATGCCATTTTTATATAGATGTCTAATATGATAATCGGTAGTAAATATATGTTTATATGCCCTTTTTTTATGGGAGTTGATTTTATCTCACTCCCCTTTTCTTCCCTTATACTCCCTTTTGCTTTTTAATTTTTTTTAATAAATTTTGTAATTTTTTGTTCTTTCTCTTTCCACTTACACATTTTTTTTTTTTTTTTTTCAAAAGGAAACAAATTTTAATGAAAAAGACAATAGGAAAGAGAAAGAACCAAAAGAACAAAAATGATTAAAGAACAAAATGCGGAGAAAATTGGAATGGGAAAGTCTGTTCCATATAGATGTGTATAGAGATAGTCATCAAATCTTTCAAAAATTCGGTGTTTTATTTGGTTTTATATAAATTTCCAATGCGTTTCATGATAATCTATATATATAAAGCAAAAGGCAGAGAATGGTGAAACATTCAAAATACCAGAAAATGCCCTTAGTTAATGCAAACATTAAAAATTGAAATTATTAATTAAATGAGGATAATATGGTAAATTCATACTTTTTCATATTAAAAAAAATTAAAATTAAAAGAAAAATCAGATAATGGATCCTATTTTTATGGAACACAACTATCCATTATCTTTTTTAATTCTAAAATAAATTTAAAATTAAAATTTAAAAAAAAAAAAAAAAGCCTCTCGCAGGCGCGGAAGCGCGTGCAGAGAGGCTAGTTAACTAGTTAAAGTAATTCAAGAACAATGTGAAAGAGTCAAATGCAATAAAGATGATCATGGTATAAGAGAAAACCCGAAATACATGTGCATGCTAAGTTCTTAATTTTGGCCAATTCTTATTTTTCAAAGATTTGCCTATAATATGAAGTTATTTGCTTGAATCTCAATGACTTTGATTCTAAGAATGAAAAACAATTTTAAAAATATGAGAAAAAAACTTATAAAATTATATACGTTCTTTGCTGATCCCCAAATGATAATAGCAACAATGCACAAGTAACAAACAAATTTCTACATAACAATATAGTTTCTTTTTTCTTTTTGTTGTGAATTAGAACCAACTCACTCCCCTTTAGACCTTGTTGTTGATGGACTTTGGACAAGACTCAATGATGGATGAATCTTACACACACACACAGGAAATAATCAAGCACAAATGACACAAGTGTTTATAGAGGTTCAGCAATTTGCCTACATCCTCTTTGGTGATCCCCTTGAGAAATTTCACTAATGAAGATAGGTTACAACTTTGGTTTACACAGAAACCCCCTTAGAACACTACCCTCACAATCTGTTTCTCTCATACCCTTGCTCACACCTTGATACACTTGAGAATTCTCTCCTCCTCTTGACTCACTAGTTTCCAGCTACTTGAGCTCTCTTAAACTCTCTCACTCTTTTCAGACTTGCTCCCTCTTTCCTTTAATACATAAGCCCATAGACTTGAGAGAAGACCCTTGCTTTGTCTCCCACGTTCTGCCCTTGAATACCTGACATAGACCACAGATTAGGCCAGCCACAAGCTATGTATTGATGGCTACTTGTGCAGCCACCCTATATAGAACCATAAGGTAGCTACACCTTGAAACAAGTCTTCCAATGTCCTTCAATGCTTCCTCAAACCTCCCAACTGATTGCCAACCTTCTTCTGACTTAGAAGTGACCCCTAGGGTCCTTGCAAGTGGGTGGGAGGCGATAGCCCTTGAAATTAGAGTTCAAAACTCGAGAAATCCGAAACAGCACGTGCTGGGCGACCGGTCGCAAGACACTGTGCGACCGGTCGCTTTTAGGCAGAGTCTACTACATTCGTGCTCGACCTCATGCGGCCGGTCGGAATAAGCTGGCGACCGGTCGTTGGTTGTTTCTGCTCCAGACTTCGATTCTGTGTAAAACCGACCGGTCACAAATGTCCTGCAACCGGTCGCTGGTCCAAAAGTTTGTATCCTTTATGCGAGCCAATTTTCCCAACACTTTTCAGAATCATGGAAACAAACTAGATTTGTGTTCTTCATTCACCACTTTTTTCCTCAAACTCCCGGGGTATATTCGGTGGAATTTACCGTATGTATACACAATTATCCAAGCATGGGGTAGGGTGGATGAGAAAACCATATAATAGTTGAAACTCACAAAAAATCCAAGGTTTACTCGTCAAGTAAGAAAAGAGACCCATTTGATGAAGATTAACCACTCAACTTAAAATCCCATAAGAACTTGAATTGAAAACATAATTAAAAAAACAAGATATGAAATCTCAGAAGAGCTTTATTTCTTATTTTGAAGTTTGGTAAATGGTGTTAGTTTTTAGCTCCTGGTGGTTTTTAATGACGTACCAAACTTGTTGCATAAACGTCGTCAAGCACATTCAAACAAATAAAAATAAAGCAAAGAATCTGTAAGAGATATTGAGCTGTCAGGCAAAAGCTGAAAAGAAGAGATGGCATACAGCTGCCGCTAGGGAACTAGGCAACTAAGTGTGTAGAGATGCAGAGATGCGGCATGTGATTCCCTAATCACTATTGAGTTTTGTAGTTTGCCCGAAAAAAAAAAAAGGGAAAATAGTCTTGTCTCCTTTATGGTAGTTTGCAGAGATGCAGGTGCAGCATGTGATTCCCTAATCAGTATTGAGTTTGTAGGGTAGCTGAAGAATTAAAAGAGGAAAAGAGTAATAAAATAAAATAAAGTCACACACTGTCTATAAAACAGAAAGCCATATTCACAAGTTCACAACATCGATCAGTTTTCATCATCAACTTAGAACCCTCTAACTCTTTGGTGATCTTTTTGGCCATAAAACTTGAAAGAAAATCACACCTCAAGCGGCTAAACTCCAAACAAAACCCAAAAATCAGGTAACAAATTCATTCAAGTTAAATATTGCAAGAGTGCTGCTATTTCCACCCACCTGTCCTATTTTCCCACCCACTTTATTTTCAAAATTTTAAAGATAAATTTATCCCTTTGTAAAATGACATCTAAGGGCCTAAGAAAAAAACTTTTTTAAAGCATTTCAAATAAAACAATAAACTAAAATAAAAATAAAACAACATTTTTTCATTTTGTTGGATTTGGTGGCAGCAGTTAAATGAATCTCTGTTCCCTGTTTCCTCTATTTTTTTTTAATCGATTCTTTCATGTGGTCTCTTTTTTTTTTGGTTGTGGTTGCTAAATTTTTTATAAAAAAAATCAATTGTTGTGGATGCCTTATCCACCCTTTTAAGACAATCGTTTCTCTTTTAAAGAAACTCACTTGGTGTATGAGATTAAAGCCTCTCCCTCTGCTTCTTTACTATTTTTTCTTTCTAGAATTTTGTTTCTGTTTTTTTTTTCTCTTCTGAATTCGTGGTGAATTAGTGTTTTCTTATTTGGGTTATTTGTCTCTGACATATTGATATAAGACTAGAGGTGAATTTGCATTTTTTGGGTATTAATAGTGGCTTCGTCTTGCAGCTCTCAACCCTCAACCCAAATTTCGCGCTGAGGTTGAAGAAGCTCTGCACAAATAACTAAGGTTTTTTTTGTTGTTGAGGATTTTGCTCAAGTAATGGTGGAGGAGGGTGAAGAGGTGGGGGAGGGGCTAGTGGCTAGTGTGTTGCTGAGTGGGTGGGGCTGCGTCGGGAAGGGGGAGAGAGGCTTTTTGTTTTTGTATTTTTATTTTTTAAAAATGTTATTTTATTATTAGTTTACTTTAATAATTTAAGGGTGTTTTAGGAATAATGGCGGGTGGAAAGATAAGATTTTATTTTTTAAAAATTCATATGGTGGGTGGGAAGATAAGGTGGGTGGGGAAATAGGACAGGGGGGTGGAAATAGCAGCACTCATATTGCAATGCATGCGTTTTTCTTTAATTTTTACATACTTTGATCGCAACATTTATTACCAGAAAGAAGAGAAAGGAATTGATATCACATTTGTTTCCTGGGTATCAATTTCAGTGAGTTAGAAGAGATTCGAGAGAGAATCATCATATTTGGAGGAGTGATTATGTTAATTATTTATAAGGGATTTGCTCTTATGTTTGCAACCAAGAATCTCCAACTTCCGTTCATACAAGTATACTGTTACTTATGGCTACGGAGTCACAAGCATTTTGGAATGGGCGGTTTCGGAAAAGAGGTATTATGTTTGAAATTTTATAAGAATGTTGATTATTATTTTGTTTTATATTGAAAATATTGCCGATTGTCATGCAAATTAAGGCTGAAATGGTGATAATATCTCGATATACTTGAAAAATGCTGAAAATTATCCTTGTTGCGCATGGAGGGATTCGAACCCTTGCCTCTGTGAGAAACAGCCCAGCGCCTTATCCAACTCAGCTGCGTACGTGTTTGTGAATATATTTTCGGTGTGTAATATTTATAACGTCTTTAAAATGTCTGTAAGCTAATATTTATTATATAGGATAAATTTCTATATTAAAAAAGACGCCAAGGGGATTCAAACCCCTCCCATTTTACTCCTTCAACACCTTAACCACCATATCACTTATGTTTTTGTGAAAAATATGCTAAAATATTTATATATATACATGGTTTTGTTTTGAATTTTTTTTGCAAGAAACAAATTGTTTTGAATTCTTTTGACCATTCCTTTTCAAGTCTCTACTTTTGAAATACTCACCACGTTTCAACTTACATCCCTTACCCTGCCATTCAACCGCTCACCTAACTAATTAGTTGTAGTCATATTGCTATATATATAGTTAGGTAGTCCTATTTCTATATATACAAATAAAATCAAATGGTCCAAGGCCGTCCCTTATTTCTCAACATCTCTCCAAAACAAAACATAATGCTCATGTTATTCTCAACATCTATCAACCTCAATTTCCCCCCAAGTTAAAAAAAAACTGAACTATAGTAAGTTATTCTCATTCATTATTGTTATTTAATTTGCATGTTTATTATTATCTATTCCAAAATTTTGGTGGTATTATATTTTAAATTGTGTCAATTAATTACTTAGTCAATGGCATGTGGTTTTTAATTTTTCTATTCTTTATTTGGTCACTTACATGTGTGTTTATTGTCTCTTAATTCATTATTAAAGACTTCATATGCTTTCATCAGATTTTGTTACATTTGTTTAATTATTAATTTATTGTTGGTCTATACAGATTCTATTTGGCCTTTACACAAAGGGTTCCATATTTAAGGTAAGTTTACAAACTTATATTTATATTATTGTAATTTATACAACAACATAAAATTTGTGTGGACCCGTGCATGTGATCTAAGAACCAATACTTGCATGTTAATTTTTTGAAGTAATTAAATTAAGTAATGTTGTATAATTATTCCCTAGGATAATTTTAATATGTTTAATGTTGTTTATTATTTTATTATCGAATTGGATTATTATTCATTATTAGGTTTTATTATTCCATATTATTTTTATAATTACTTAAATTCCTACAATCATTTTCTTTACTTCCTATTTAATTCTTCTGTAGAATAACTTTATTATTTAGGTTCTCTTATATAATCGTCACTACTATATTTTTTGGCCAAAAAATAATTACCTAATTTCCATGAAAAATAAATATAGGTACGTTTAAGATGTCTAGTGGAGTTACTAAACGTGATCCAGCTTGGGAACATGGAGACCCAATAGACGGAAACAAATATGGCACAATTTGCAAATATTGTGGTTGGGTAATGAAGAGTGGTGGAGTGACGCAACTTAAGTACCATCTTAGTGGATTAGATCCAGGAAATAATGTCCAACGATGCGATAATGTCCCCCATGAAGTGAAGGCATTCATCACCACATTATTAAAAAATAAACAACACCAGAAGGAAAAAAAACATATGGAATGGAAAATATTCGAGCTGGGCTACGAGGAGAAGTCATTGGCCAAGCAGTTGAAAGTGATGATGATGACAATGAGGACGAATGTAATGATGACATGGGACCTGAAGAGCGACACAATTTCAAACAAGCATTACGTGCCTCCAAACAGTCAGCATGGGAAAGAGAACACCTCCATAAACTTCCTAATAGAGCACAAGGTTCTGGGGCAAGTGGTGGTGCACAAATGAGACGGGGAGCAAGTGTTAGAGAATCACAACCAACACCACCAATAGCCCCCAGTTTATATAAGTCATCCAAAGCACGTCAAAAGAGTGTTTGGAGTTATTTCGCTGGAGGTAATGTGAAGGAGGGAATGGGGCGTCTAATTAGCAAGTTATTTATTTATAACAATGTCCCTGCTGAGAAGGCATCATCACATCATTTCAAAAATATGGTATTGGGATGTCAACAGGTCGGTGTTGGAGTACAACCTCCCACTCCCTATGAGGTAAGAAACAAATATTTGGAAATGGAGTATAAAGACATTAGTGAGTATGTTAACAAGTTGAGGTCAAAGTGGGAAACTAATGGTTGCACAATCATGTGTGACGGATGGACTGGCCCGACCAGATTGTCTATCATAAACTTCATGGTATACTCCAAGGGAAAGAATTTTTTTGAAGTCTGTTGATGCTTCAGACCATATAAAGAAGTACAAGTATATTTACAACCTATTGAGGGATGTAATCATGGAGGTGGGAGAGCATAATGTTGTCCAAGTCGTGACCGACAACGGTTCTGCATTTGTCAAAGCTGGAAAAAAGTTAATGAAGCATCATAATGTGTTTTGGACATCATGTGCAGCACATTGTATTGATCTCATGTTTGAGGCAATGGGGAAAAGAGAGAATATTGCTAATGTCGTGCTAGAACGATCACAAATTATATTTACAATCACGGTTGGTTGTTGGCAAAGATGCGTGAATTTTGCAAAGGAGAAATTATTCGTTCAGCTACCACTCGATTCGCCACCAACTATATTGCATTAGACAGCCTACTTAAGAAGAAATCAGGGTTGAAGCAACTATTCACTAGCGAAGATTGGGCCCGAAATTATTCGTTCAGCTACCACTCGATTCGCCACCAACTATATTGCATTAGACAGACTACTTAAGAAGAAATCAGGGTTGAAGCAACTATTCACTAGCGAAGATTGGGCCCACCACCATTTCAGCCGCCCAAATGCAGGTCGTATGGTGGAAAGTATAGTGCTTGATCATGCTTTTTGGACTCAATCAGAACATGTGTGCCAAGTGTTTGAACCTCTTTACAAAGTTTTACGGATTGTTGACACCTAAGTGTATCCTACTATGGGGGCAATATATGAGTTGATGCGTGTAGTGAAGGAGGACTTGGAACGAAAACATGTTGCAAGGTGGGTCATAAAGATAATTGATGACCGATGGTATAAAACATTATACCACGATTTGCATGCAGCATGTACAAATTATGTCATAATTTGCAATTCATTTCTTTAGTTCCATAAATATTATTTCTCTTACGAGAGTATGTGTTTCTTTGAATAGCATATTATTTGAATCCTCGATACCAATACAGACTCGGTGTTGGAGATGATGGTACCCTTATACGTGCTGTACACAATGTATACTCTAAATTAGACCCTGCATCACCAGCAGGTATGTGTTTCTTTGAATAGCATATTATTTGAATCCTCGATACCAATACAGACCCGGTGTTGGAGATGATGGTACCCTTATATGTGCTGTACACAATGTATACTCTAAATTAGACCCTGCATCACCAGCAATTGGCCAATTTGGAAATGAGGTACACAATTACTTAAATTATAATAATTACATTGTTGGATTAAACTAACACGATTTATTGAATTCAGCTAACATGGTTTAAAGATGCAAGAAGAACTTTTGGAGAACCAACATCAGTTGTTGCTCGAACAAAAATGTCTCCTAGTGAGTGTAATAATTTTTCACTATCATTTTATAATAGAATTTGTTGGAGTTATTAGACTTATTAACATTGTTTTTCATTATAGCTGAATGGTGGATCATGTATGGGACTGATGCACCAACTGTGAGAAAGTTAGCAATCAAAGTATTATCACAAACAACTTCCTCATCTGCTTGTGAAAGAAATTGGAGTACATTTGCACTCATACACACAAAGCCAAGAAATAGGTTGGCTCATAGTAGGTTGGAAAAATTAGTTTATTGCTACTACAACATGAAGCTTCAAATTCGAGATAAGGAAGCATAAATAGATCATGTCGACCGTGGTGACCCACTAGATTTGTTTGATATTGTTGCTGAAAATGATGATATAGAGGGTAACCAACTTTATCAATGGATTAGACCTCTTCATTTAGATGATGATGAAGGCAACCCAGCTCTAAGAGTTGCTGAAGAAGCACGTAATAAAGGGATAAATGTAGAAAGAGTATTAGAGGAGGAGGTGGGATCTAGCAGCGCTGACTCTTTGGAAGAACTTTTGCGCCCAAGACCAAGAAACACTGGAATTCCACCTTCTTCCAATCCTACACAACCCCAAGATCCTGCTAATACTAATGATAGCTCTAGTACAAGATCAGGAGACTCACCTACCACTGGAGGTGGGAATGATGAAGGATATAGTGGAGCTGGAGGTAGTGGTGGATATGGAAACTATGTTGGACCACCTCTCGGATTTATGAGCCCCTTCACTGGTGAGGCAAACTTCACGCATGCAACACAAGATGAGGACCATGGCAGTAGGCGGGCAGGACCAGGAATTGGTGCCATAGGGAAGGACTATACTCATAGAGAAAGAGGCAAGGGGACTTTGTCAAGTCAAGAAGATGACTCGTTATCTATAACTTCGGACTCTGTTGAAGTGGGAAGTAGTAATT